AATCGAGGAAAACGAAAAGAAAAGAAAAGAAGCAGCTCCCATAAAGCGATCGGGGAGACCCTCGCCGTTACACCCATAGACGCGAGACCGCGTCTCTCCTCTAAGTGTATTAGACTCGCGTTTCGGGTCGTGGAAGAAGGTGTGCGGGGGTGGGTGTAAGCCGGAGGACGGTTTCGAAGGGTGCGAGAGGGTGGTCCGAGGCCTGTACCCCGCTAATGGCACCCTCGGGGTATTCCCGGAGAACCCTCTCGTATTTATTATTTAGCGAGGATACCGGTAGGAAGGTGGAAGGAAGTGGGAGAAAGAGAAACGGAGAAGGAGAGTCGAGGGGATGGCGTGAAGGTGTAACGGAGAAGAAGAGCCGGGGGAGAGAGGGTCAGCATTGGCAGGCCACGAGGATTTATCCGCAAACATCACACATCGGTCGTAGACTTCCGTCGAGCACGATTTCGAGGATGGAAACCGCAGGAAATTAACGGTGACACGTGGTCGGGCTGGACACGTGTTTAACCGCGTGCGAACGATGAAAAATACGATATCCGATGGAGGTTGGATGGGAAGAGTTTGGGACGGATGACAATAATTTTGTGAATTTGCATAATCGTGCGTTTTAGATGCGACAGATATGGAAAAATCGTTGAATTTCATTCATTAAACGAGCGTTAGAACTCGGCGAACCAGATAAATTCGAATGAGAAAAAAAAGAAGAAAAAAGAAAAAGAAGCTGATCGAGGATTGATCGGAATGGTATCAATCGAAGAATCGATTCATAGATTACGTAGTGGAAAAACAAGTGGAAAAACATCGGGAGAGGGACAAAAATAATCAAAGAGGGGGAGAGAGGGGTGGAGGGGTATGGACGAGGGAATCGGGAAAATCGGAAACAATTGTCGCTCGTGTATGTTCGAGGAGAGGACTCGTGCGCGCGCAATTTGCGCGTCAGGAAAATGCATGCTTCGATGGCAGCAGCTGCGGGACGTTATTGATACTACATTTCTCCCGATTTGACGAATTGCCGTATTGGACTAATGGTCCGAATACGAAGGCCCCGGCCGATCCAGCCGGCTTCTGACTCGCGGCTTCCTAGCAAAATTGTTGACCCCCCACGTAAAACTATAACTCGCTCATAATTCTCCGCCATTTCGGTCTGGAGAAGCTGGAGGAAAAAACGAGAAAACGTGGTCAAACAAATGGTCGAGGGAAATATCGATACTTCTGCTCGGTTTACTTTTCGAAAATTAATGTCAACGAGCCGAGCCTTTCGTCGTTTCATCGACGTGATTTCGTCGATGAAACGTTATACGAATACAAGTTTTCAAAATTCAAAATTACTCGAAACCACAAATTGTTAAATTTTACTGGCATATTATCTCGGAAAACGTGACATGAATCGTATAAATGGAAACATTCAACGCACTATATAGATTTATGTAACAAATATACGATCTACGTTTCAATCTATTCTAGTATTTGGAACAGGTTCAAATAGACTGATATAAATTAGTGGTTCTTACCAGAAAAATGTGTCGTGACGGTGAATCGAAGCATTTTACGAGGGCACGCCGCTTTTCCCGAACTCGTCATCTTATCGAGAATCAACGTCACAGAAATACCGGGTTATAAATTTGAAAAAATAGGTCGATTAAGAGCATCGATATCCATCAAACTGTCTCTTAAAATGTTCGGCTGGCGGTCGAAACATAATCTCGAAATGGAGAATATAACGATACGAGAACACGTCCAAACACGTTCGAGAGAGAAAAGAAGACTGAGGTATGTGTAGCACTAGCGAGCGATATCGTACAACGTACAACGGGGAAAAAAACGTCAACAAAGACGAACTGCCTATAAGTATAATCTAGAAATATATACAAACTGCTCGATCTAGCACAGCGAAAAATATAAATTTTAGGCAATTAACGTTCTGACTCATACTCATTGAAAAACAATACTTTTTACAATAAGAAATATAAACAGACAATCGAACTATACGACTACATGAATAAAAGGATACGTTTAACGTACGAATATTAATAGAAATTATAGAAATCTCATTACCACGATCCGTTAAATTATTTTTCGCTAATATTTGTTTATTCGATAAATAATTATTCGCTGCACAATGCTTTTTTACATACCTAGCTAAATATCATAGATGAATTTCGATGGACGATGAGAAAACAAATTGTTAATGGCCGACATATTGAATCGTGATTACGTCACAAATTAGAATAATCATTAATTTCATCTATTTTCAAATATCCGTTTGAATATTTCAATTAATCTCGAAATAATTCTTTTAAATTTATCGGAACGAGACAAAATCTAAATATATTTACTCGAATTTACGACTATAAAAACCTTTGATTCGCTTTCCCGCCATTTTCATTTCTGAGACACTTTGATTAATAACTAATTTCTATAAATTTACACTTACCACATTGATTATCCAGTAAAATATCTCGATATTTCGTTGCACAACATTAAACTATTCACTTTCTGATCTCGCAATATACACGATCACCAAGTTTTTTCAATTAATTAACATAAATTAACTTTCAATTAACGAGCATTTGCACCACATCGACTCAACAAGCACTTTTGAGAAAGAAAACATCAAATCAAACGTTCGTCCAATCGGCGGGCGTTAGTGTCGCCACCTATATACGATTCCATAAACTATCACTTCAAGTTGAAGTTATCCACCGCAAATTATCGATTGCCGCCAAATTAAAAATTATTCTTGAATAAAAATAATCTCATTCTTTTTTTCTTTTTTATAAATATACTTCGATTATGCTGTAATGGTAATTTTTTTATTACTACCATAAAATGAATAGATATCAAAAATATATAATACAATATCATAAAATCATAACATATCATAATATCATAAATTATCATTTTTAGTATTTAATATTTTTTTTGTAAGAAATTCGTGAGCGATGATCTTAAAAAAAAAGTTTAAGATATAAATAAAAATGCAATTTCGATCCTTCCGAATTTTTTCCTTCTTTTTTTCTTTTTTTTTTTTTTCGTAATATAATTACGACTCGGTCGCAATTACTCGGCACTCATATTTTCTATTTTTTTTTTTTTTCCTCGAATTGATTCAGAAAAATGGCCCCGAAGCCTGAGAAGAAATGAAACTACATTATGCATAGCGCACCATTTTACTTGCTGCATTCTCGGGATGATAATGGCATCGTTTGAAGTGTTCGCGTAATTAATGAAGCTAAAAAAACTTTTGACCCTTAATTACGCTGCCCATTGTATTTGAAGAGTTCTTTTTTTTTCTACGGACTACTATGAAAATACGAATAAAGAAAACGGGCCGTATCGCAATCAACGAATGTCTCCGAGAATATATATTATATAAACGCGATCATTTTTGATCCCTGTTATGCATTTTGACAAATCATATAAATGATTTTGAAATAATTCACATATTGTTTAAATATGGGAAAATATTTGGCGAAACGGTAACAATGTTTCACAATGTCTATTGCCTATCTTCGATTTAGAACTGCTTATGCAAAAGCTATTCTAAGTATGGAAAAATGTTTCTTCTGTTATGAAATTTTCTATTTTATAAGAAAGAAAAAAAAAACCAAATTGTTGACATTACACTTATAATTAAACAGTCTTCGTCTAATAATTTATAATTTTTATAATGATCGTAATAAATCGTAGATGCCGATCGAGAAACGCTCGATTTTTTTCAAAGTCGGTATTTCAGAACCGTATATGGTATGACGGTGAAGTCCAATAAAACGAGAGACCCTCTTCCGTGGTCAGAACAAAAGTCCGTTCCGTTTCGTTATTCGAATCGTACGACTGAGAATTGGTCGACAATAAGATATTAAAATGATAATCAATATCCCTTCATTGTTTTTAATAAATGAACGATACTCTTGAACGATAATTAAACGTTTTAAATATAAATATAAACGTGGAGAAACCAACGATCGATCGGTAAGGGATCGTTCCAGTTGCGGATTTGAAGAGTCTCACCGGATAAGAAGAATCCTATGCTCTTTGGAGCACGGTCGGGCAAAGAATTTTTATAACTAAATTTTCAAGTATAATCAAGATCACGGTCATTATTATCCCCAATTACCCATTACTCCGAGTAATTGTGTTAATAGGCTAGGGAGAAACGAACTTCGAGTCCTCGGAGCGAAACTCCACGAAAATCGCTTCGCTATTCCCTCCCTGAAAATTATACCTTTGTGCTTTAAACGCTTTATAACCCAAGCTAACCGTGAGCTCGTACCTATGCTTCGAACCGATGCCTAATTTTCCTTACGATTTAAAAATCGTCGTTACGTACCAACTCTCTCCCCTCCCTCTTTTTTTCGGATCCAGAAAAAATACCCATAGATACCCAAAAATAATTAATCATCATACGTGTATATATTTTCTCGAGTCTCGATCCTCACGATATTCCACCGAGAAAGTGCAAAGTGGCAATATGACGCGACGCCGGGCCAAATTTCAAGACGGACGGACGAAAGGAGACGAAAAACCCGTACGTACACTTTATATATATACATATACAGAAATCTCTTTAGGAATTTAATACTTTAAAAACGCGTTTAACGACGCGAAAAGATCTACCCTATCCAGCGAGTCGTCGGATCGGCGAGAGTGGGTGGGCCCGACACTTGCGAACCAAATCGACCGTCGAGCTTCGCATGGCGGGAGAGAGCGGGGGTTGCGGCGTAAGAGTCGGGGCCCTGAGGGCCCCTCGCTCGGGCCCGGTATGGGAGCGGAGAGGGGCTCGAGGGGGCAAAGGCACATTCCAAGGCAGAACGGCCGCCAGTGAAGGTGGAAGACACGAACAGTCTCTCACGATATTGCGCTCCGTTCCTATCGCTTCCTTTCTTCCTTCGAGAGTCGTCGCTCGTTTTCGACGCCGTGGGACCGTGGCGTGTCGTGTGTGCCGTGCCGTGCTGTGCCGTACCTCGCCGTTCCGTTCGGTGCCGTGCCGTGCCGTGCAAGTGCCGTTCCTTTCTTCCTTCCTTCCTTTCTTCATGTTGTGCGAGACGCGACGCGATGCGAGCCGACTCTCGGAATCGAATTAACGAGAATTCGACGTGGTCGAAGAAGCCGAGGAGAGAGGCAACATGCATGGGATAGAGTGTTCCGCGGTAAAGAGCAACGGGTGTAGTAAGCTCGTCTTTTTTGGCGCCACGCGTGTCGTTCAACGTTTCGAAAATGCGCACGCCTGCTTACGCGCCACGGTATTCCAGTGGGAAGAGCAAGAAGGAGCAGAGAGTTCGCGTCGAAAATAGACTTTTGCCTCGTGTTCAGATCCGTGGCCCGATCGTCGGGCATGCGGAAGGAGCGTCACCGGGAGACAGTGATTGAGAGGATCCGGCAGACGGGAGCACTTGAATATTCGATCGCGCAGGTGAACCGCAAACTATCTTTTTCTCTTAATACGTGATGGATACGATGGGAGTACTTCCAAGGTACTCGAGTTCTTTTTTCTTCTTTTCTTTTTTTTTTTTTTTTTTTTTGTCATATAATAACGAGAAAGAATTGTATCTCAACGGTTCTCTCTCTCTCTCTCTCTCTCTCTCTCTGTCTCTCTTCTTCGTGGAGAAATGTCCGACGAGTAAATTTATATAACCGACGTTTCGAATATATTTTGTATCGCAGAATTTCGTCGGACGGAGTCACGAAGCTGTTGACACGAGCGTTCCATTTATTCGGTGACGGTGAAACCGGTATTCGTAGCAAAAGGAGCGAAATAGGTAGAGTCGAAACGAACCTCCAAAAATCCTTATATCCGATATAAGGGAGGACGGGGTTTGTCCGCTTCTCAAGACGATCCGAACGTCGATCCCTTCAAATTAAGAATTTTATTCCCCCTTGAACGCGCATAAACGGAAGGTAATTTTCTGCCATCTCGATTGTGGATGCCTATCAATTGTGGACCGTTGCCTCGTTAGTTACGATCGGATTTACGATCATCGTATAAACACCGTGAAAAATTCTTTTTACGAGTCGAGCAGTTCGAGTGCGAGAATCGTCTGAAACGGAGGCCAACTCTCCGAGGAGAGGGGAAGAGAGAGGAGGAGGGAGGGAGGGAGGGGAGGGATTCGTCGGGTTTTCTGCTCGAACGAAATTAAATCCACGTGCCAGCGGAGCATTCCCATTCTTCGTTCGATCGAGAGATCGGCGGAACGACAGAAAAACTTAACCGCGTCCGAGGCAAACGCGATCGGCATCGAACTTGGCCATGGCCTTCAAAGCGTTTGCGCTCTCGTATAACGAGATACGAGGAATGTAAGTTGCCGGGAGTCGACCGCTCTTACTTACGAGAGAATCTCAACCTCCAGCCTGCCTCCTCCTGCCTGTTCAACTAGATGCCCGATACCAAATGCGCTTTAAGGTAGGGGCCGTTGTTGCGATCGATTTTGCAGGTGAAATACAAGGGGGCTATTAGGCTAAGCAGATTTCCCTTTAAAGTGGGATCGACTCGCTTCCCACCGTTAATGGATAATAAGAAGATCGATAAGACACGATGTTTTTCCTTCTTTTTTTCGCGATTTAAAACACAAAACGAAAACGAAAACTTTCTCCCTCCTATTCTTTGCGTATGGATTATCGAACGGATTATCTTGCTTATAGGAGCACGTATCGATTTTTCTGAAAGGCCGTGATGATCGTTAGTCAGAATTCGTAAACAATTTCTTAACAAGCTAATACGGAAGGAATTATAAGGGTGGGATTCTTTCCAAATAAGTACAATGCCGGCCTATGAAAGCCACTTCTTCGCAACTCGAGAAGAATCGCCTCTAATTCTATTCGCTAAAGAATATTTGTACAAGTTCGTTCCTCGAAAGCTATTCGCACGAGAAGTTTTAACGACGGAAGGCGCTAATAGGCGCCTGAGAAAGTTTTTTTCCGCGTTTCCGCGCCCGGAACGGATGCGATATCCGCAGTTACCATCATCCTATTTACTCCAACCCCGTAATTGGCAGATTCGTTAATACGATCGCCTTGATTTTTCCTCCTCCTCTACGGATCACCGAGCAACCGTTGATTTACTACTTTCTTGTCACTCCCCTCCCTCCCCCCTCCCTCCCTCCTCTCCGCCCATTGATATCCGCGGGATATATTGGGGGAAGGTATCTCGTTTTATTCCTTTCACACGCGCCATTTCATCGAATGAATTTTCACCACGAATTTTCGTGATCCGGAACGATTTATCAAGTTGGACGAGAGAGATTATTCGTTCGCGGATTCGATACGAAAACGGGAAGAGGCCGGATCCTTTTCTAGTTCTACGAACGATTAATTCTATCGATCGATCGCGGTTACGTTATATTTTCAGGTATTACGATGTCCCAACCGCAATTGACCACGGATCTGGACGTTCCGGAAAATCCGCAACACTCTTGCCAATGCTCGGCGATGAGCAGCATGGATTCCATGAGAGCGCAGAGGGAGCGGGGCGTGGGAAGTACAAGAATTTCCAACAGCCAAGAACTCCCTAGGGGTTTGGAGGCGCTTCAGAGCGCTTTCGAGCCGATAAGAAGGCTGGAGAGCCCGTTGTCCCATCACCACCATCATCATCATCAGCAAGAAGGGCAACAGATGAATTTGGAGAGTGGCAGGAACGCGGACATGTTGGAACATCAGGCGAACGTGAGATCGATGGAGGGTCAGGGGGCGATTTTGTCGAGACACGGTCACAATCTTTCGTGCAGCCCGAGGAACTTGGACCTCTCGCGAAACTTGGCGTTCGAGGCAGCGAGAAGAGTTCAGGAATCCGGCAACAACTTGCAGGACAACAACGGCCAACCAAGCGGCCCATCCAGCCCTTTGCTCGAGTCCGCCGGCCCGGCTCTTCTCGCCGAGACGAAAGATCTGGACAAGCAGCTCGAGGATCACGGTGGTGTCTCTCTGTCGCAGAAAGCGGCCACCACCTCGGGCAAAGACAAGCTGAAGACGAGCATTCAGCAGGTTCTGAACCCTTACCAGCATCATCACGAGGCTGCCTCGGCCGAGCGCAACACCGTCCACGGCCACTTCCACGGGGACGCGCACGCTCACGTGCACAAGCATGCCGACAACTTTCGAGGCGGCGCGAATTTGGACGTGGTCGGGGACGGGTTGATGGGGTTTCAGCAACACGGTCAGCGGCAACACACTCATCATCATCACGCGAAAAGCACGGGCGTTGCGGGGGGCCATCATCACGGGCCAACGGCCGTCCACCATTCCCACGTCCCCCCCCGTGAAGGAATAGCGGGCCATCATCACGGAAATCTCGCCACCCACGTCCACGGAAACGTGTCTGCCCCCTCGAGTCAAAATTCGACGGGAAACCCGGGTGGCCATCACCATCCGAATCCGTCCACCGCCGCCACAACCGCCACCACCACCACCACCATGATCCACAGAAATTCGCCGACCAATCATCACCGCCTCGCCGCCCATTATCCATCCAACTCGGGCTTCTCCAGCGATCACCACGGCACCTCGAGCGCGATGAGCGGCGCCTCGTCCAACTCGAGCATGTTGAACCACGGCGGATCACCGGCGGTGCACCGGCACGTGGTCAACGCGAACAGCAGTCTGTCGACCACGCCGCTCGCTAGCCATCATCATGGCAGCTCGTCGGGAAGTTTGACCGGGCATTCCAGCGTGAATCATCATCACGTTAGTTCGGGCATATCCTGTGAGTCTTCCTCGTCAAACGCCAATACGAGAGCGCATAGTCGTTTAGATCACGTCCACGATCATCATCATCATTTACAACAGGTGCATTCGTTGCACCCCAGCCACCCCGACGCGCCCCGGCAAAGGGACGCCAGAGCTCCGTCCAGCCTCGAGCATCACGGCCACCATCACGGCCACGTGCACGCCCACGCCCATCAGCATCCGCAAAATAACGATACCAAAAATACGTCTATCATCGGGGTGGACTCGATACAGGTATCTTTTTCTATCCGGCGGGAAATTTCATTCGAAATTTCACCGAGTCGTATTACGAGAGCGAAACGATTTCCTCGAAATCTAATCGCGCCTGTGCCCGACAACCAACCTCCATTAATCACTCGCGGTTATTCCACGATCGCTTCTATATATATATCGCTGTTCGTTTCACCGACGCGGCGTTAATTATTATTATTCGGGCGAACAATTTCGTACATATTTCTCTCTCGATATTCTTTCTTTCTTTCGCAAAGTGACGATTTTTAATCGTCCAGGTGTCGGCCCCTTCGAAGAGTAAGTGCCAGTGTCACGTGGTGCAAACTGGAGGAAACAAGAGAGGGCAGGAGGGCGAAAGCGACGGAGGTGTGGAAGTAACATCGAGAACGCATCAACCCCCCGCGCTACCTCCGCGGCCACCCCCCAGGCCAACCAGACGATACGAAACAACGTCCGTCGATCAATGTGAGTATTTTTCCATCGAGATCTCGTTTTTTTCTTTCTTTTTTTTTTTTTTTTTTTTGAAAAGACTACTCGTTCTTCGAGATAGCCATCTCGTTTGATTCGAGCAGAGTTTGATTCGATATCGAATCGTGCACAAGTTGGCTCGCGCCAGTTCGAACAGTGGCAAATACGCTTCGATTTGCGCTCGAAGCGAACTCGGACGAAATTAGGGGGGAAGAAGGGTGGCTCCACCCTTGGTTCGAGGGTTGGATCAGCCAGAACGTCTGCAGTATCAGCGGCGATGACAGGCGGGAATCTTTTATCAATGGTGGACACGCGTTATCGACGCGTTGAGACGCATCGTTGACCGATTCTGCTCGGGGAAACAACCCCCGTGGAATTTCAACCCTCGACCGCGTCGAGTCGCTGGAATCGTGACGGTATATCGACCAGTCGATGCCCGCAGCAACCGAGAGCAGAAGCATCGTGTCGAAGAATGCTGGGAATCGGGCGAGGGGCATACGATACTTTTACCCTCGCTTCCATTAATCCGAGTTGGCTGGGCGAATGGCCGTGAGAGGAATGCCATTTTGGATGTCCTTTCAAAGGAGTCCCAAGCCTCGCCTTCGCCCTCGACACCACCACCACCACCACCTGTGGGACACCTCGGCGTGCGGGCCAGCAGAGATCTCGTGGAGTGGCACTCGAGTCGTTGTGCTCTCGCGTTCGTTCAAAAAAAAAATCGGGCGGCCGACGTCGTGAAAGAAGGAACAGACCAAGGATCCAACGCGACGACAAACGTGGGACCTTCGTAAAAATTTGCGACCAACCGGAATCATTTCGTTTCGAATGATAATAAATATAATCGACGATTTGGTGATTGCCGATGCTCGATCGAACACCTCGATTAAACGAGAAAACCTTGAATCGACCTTGGGAGGACATCCCCTTGCGAGTGCGACATGTGACATGTGACGCGCGCAAATATGAATCGACGAATCGTTCCAGTGTTATCGTGTTAATTTTAACCTCGTCGATTTTCCCGATTTTTCGTATCGCTTCGAAAGTCGAATAATAAACGATCCCGTCGACTTTTTGAATTGTCTCGAGGAAAAGTATCGTGGCACGTGTCGGTTGATAAAGGACAAAAGACAGTGATCGAAACGTGTCGGTGTTTATCTTGGAGAAGGGAAGTTTGTTCGAGAAGAAAGATGGATGGATATCCAGTGCTCCAGATAGTCCGTTGTCGACTCGGAATGGAAATGGAGATGGATAACCAGGGTTATCCGTTCACAATGGCGGCACACTCGCATTCCCACTTACCACATCCGGCAAACCACGCGCACTTACCGAGATCGCATTACCCTCACCCCTGCGGTATGCCGATTAACCCTTCTTGTTAATTTATCAATCGGCCCTCCAACCCCAATCTGTCTTCACCACCGAGCCTGGATACCCGCATAATATCCTATTAGTTATTCCATTAAGTCGCTTTTCTCGTATACGATACAGTTATCGAAATAATTAATAATCCACTCGAATATTCCTACACTTGTTGTTTTTCGCCACAGAGGAAGAGGAGCGTTTCGTATTTACTTTTGCATACGAGATGATTATTTGCAAAAATATTAATTTTCCTTTTTATTTTCCTCGAACGATTAAAAAAAAAAAATAACAAAGTTTGTATATATAAATTTCGAGTTAGGAAAGTGCACACTTTCCACTGCATTATCCACGTTCTAATTTTATACGTTTAAAGATTTGTGTTGCAGTTAGGTGTAGAAGGTCGCGTGGATAACGAAAGGTTACCGTATAAATAGATATCGACAGGATTCTATATTAAACGGGATTAAAATTTTAAACGTCGTACGGGTGGGATAGGTTGAAAAATTTTTAATTATTTTTACCAGAGATTCGCTTGAAATAAACTCGAAGAGAATTCGCGCGAAGGAAGAATGGAGAAGAATAAGAAATTATAGGAGGTTTATCTGTACGATTGCATACAACGGGGGCTTTGCCTTTTCAAGGAAAATCGAAAAACCTGTCGTTTCCTTTTACCCTTGAAACCCATTGTGCGTGTTAAATTCCAGTTTCGCTTCGGTTGCCTCGAAAGCAACGTTTCACCAAATCGTAACTATACCTAAGATTCCTATATACAGATATACATAGAGGAAGGTGCACCTTAGGTTCTTCCCATTCACAAAAAGTGGCAGGTACTCTAAGAAATTTGGTAGAATGGTTTCGAGTCAGTGGGAATCTGGACAGGTCAGATTTTCTGAAAAAAGGAAATTCCTCTCTTTCGAGGAATTCTGTCTTCTTGAAATTCGACAATATTTCGTATTCGTCAAAACACCTTCGTTCAACACACGTTTCTTTCTCCCTCGCGAAACGTTCGTTCTCAATGGCATTCTCGTTCTCAATAACGTCGATCGTCGATCGTTCCTCTTCTCAACAGAATTTTTCAACTCGAAGTCGTCGGTCGCATAATCTCTCATAGATTTTGCTCGTAGGCAGAAAAATAATTAGAATTTTTAATTACGAAAGATGATCTCTTCCCATTCGTATTCTAACCCTATAGAAAGACACAGTGTCATTCTTATTAATAGGAAACCTGATTAAAAAGTTCAGCTCTGTCGATTCTGTCTCTCTTGAGAGAGAGAGAGAGAGAGAGAGAGAGAGAGAGAGAGAGAGAGAGAGAGAGAGAGAGAGA